AAAAAAAAAAAAAAAATCAGACCTGGCATACAGTGAGCTCCCAAAAGTACTTCTTAAATGAACAAAAATACGGGCTTCTTCCCTTCCTTGGCCTGCAGGCCTGACTCACCTGGATCTTGGCGCCTTTGTATCTGATGACACCAGGCACAGTAGTCAGGGTAGTGAACTCATAGGCTGCCACCTCCGAATACACTCCTGCCAGGTTACTCAGCAGTGTTGACTTCCCCACAGATGGGAAGCCCACAAACCCAATTCGAGCATCACCTGTCTTGGCCACATCAAAACCTAAAGCAATAAACATCAGAAAGGAAATTATATCTAGATAAATTAAAATTCATGTAATTCCTTTCATATTTTTGCTGCCTATCTCTCTAGACCTCGTATCTCAAAACTTTACAGTTTTCCTCTGAAGTAGAACCAAAGCAAGCAAAATTCCCTCCACATCAATTCACAACATTCGAGCTGGCGCGTTGGCACAGGCACGCCTGTCATACCGATACTTGGGGGCGGAGGCAGGAGGATCACTGCCCGCTGGGGCTACAGAGTGAGCTCAAGGCCAGCCTAAGCTGCATAGCAAGACCCTGTCTCAGAAAGACAAAAAAACAAACCAAAAAACCAACATTCAAGGCAGTGTTTGATACAAAAACTGTATTCCTCTATCATTTAAACTGTTACACACTTTTTGAGTAACTATATTTAAAGAACAAGTACTTAAAAAACAGGGAGTTCTTTGTCTTAGCCCCTGTGAAAGGTGTAATTGACAGGACTTTATTCTGGTAAATGGCTACAAAAAAGTACAAACCCAAATCTGCAGCTTTTCCCTAACAAGCATATAGAGCTTATGGCATTCCTTTAGGTCCTAATCGTTTCTCTCGTGGCTTCTACTTCTTATTCTTACCTTCATATTCCCTTTGCAACAATTTTCCTACTTATTTGAATCTCGGCAATGGCACAGACCTATATACTTCTGCAAGCCAATGTAAACCTGTCCTGGATCAGTACAGACAAAAAAACCCCATAATTTACTTAGATAATATTCATCTGCCTCTGAAACCAGCAGAGTAAAACAAAATAAACACACTTGAAGAAGTCGGGCATAGGGGGAAAGGTTGAAACTGTGGAAAAGCCTAACATGTTCAAGACTTGGGTTTGATCCTCAGCATGAGAAAGAATTTAGAAAATACAAATCTGCTCTAAAAGAAAAATTACTTTAAAAACACATCAATTACTTTAAAAACACATATGTGTATTATTTTGATAGAAACTATACCAAAAAATATGGAAAAACACAAACCTTCTCCTGGCCCACCACCACCACCACCTTTCGGTGTAATGAGTTCTCTACGAAGCTTAGCAAGGCGAGCCTTAAGCAGCCCTAGGTGATGTGCTGTGGCCTTGTTCTTTTGAGTCCGAGCCATCTGTAAGGGAGGAACCGCAGCAATAAATCAAAAGCCATTCCCACGGGGTTAAATATCCAGAATGCTCCCCCCAGCTAAGAGAATGATTTTTCTGGGTCCTACTAATGGCAGAATACTCATCTTAAATATGTAAAAACGCATAAAAATTCATTTTCTCCATCTTCCACAAGCAAATGAGGCCAAATGAGACGAGATCAAGGTCATTCCAGCTAGCAGCGACCAACCAGACTAAAATCCACTTGCTGATCCCTTTTCTAGTGCTTGTATGTGTTATGCCCATCTGAAACAAGGTCACCATTCTTCTGGCTTCAAAAAGCTCAGAGAAACCTGGGCGTGGTAGTGCACACCTGAAATGCCACAATTCATAAGGCTGAGGCAGGAGGGTAGTGAGTTTGCCTGAACTACACAGTGAAACCTTGTGTCAAGAAAAAATCAGCCTGGGGGCACAGGCCTGCAAACCCAGGGGCGCGCTGGGAAAGTTTGAGCCCAGCCTGGGAAACTGTTGGGAAACTGTTGGCGCGCTGGGAAAGTTTGAGCCCAGCCCGGGCGTGGTGGTGCACGCCTGTAATCCCTGCACTAGGGGAGGCTGAGGCAGGAGGATCGCTGCGAGTTCGAGGCCAGCCTGGGCTACAAAGTGAGCTCAAGGTCAGCCCGAATTGCATAGGGAGACCCTGTCTCAAAAAGAAAAAAAATAATAATACTGTTTAGAAAAAAAAAGAAGAGATGTAATTCTGTGCGAAAGCCCTGGGTATGATTCCCACTACAAAAAAAAAGGAAAGAAAAATACAAAATTTCATAAAATAAAAAGTCCTGTCCGCCTCCGGCAACAGTCACGCAACATCCTGGTGGAATCAAATACCAGCAAAGCGCTCGTCAATCTACTTCCAGATCCTATCGCCGAAAGCGACACAGCGGACAAGGGAATCATTACTCAAAGATCTGGGGGTGGGGAGGTCGGGAATGACGAGGAGATACCCCGAAAGGCACGACTAGGTCAGGGCGGAGTGTGGAACAGGAATCAATCAGAGAAAAAGGAAACCGGAAAAGTCAGTACACAAGCCGGAACTGGAGGGTACGGACCAAGGGCCCACGGAGCCGGACACGCGCCAGGCAGGCGGGAGCCGAGGAGCCGCGGCGCGGGCGCGGGGAGCAGCGCACAGCCCAGCGAAGCGGGAGAAGCCGGCCCGGGACCGGGAGGCGAATCAGGAGGAGGCCGGGCTCAGCGCAGTCGGGAAACAGGGGCCGGATTTTAACTCAACCGAAAGGACGGGAGTACAGGAGCTACACTTCCGACGGAGGGATGTTCGGGCCGGGAGCAAAGCGCCAACTGTGCCCATTACCTCGGCTTCGATCTCCGCAATCTTTGCTAAAGTGCTGCTCATGGCGGCGAGTCCAGGGGGTGCGCACGAGCCGCCACACTAGCTGTCTCCCCTTGCACACAACACGGACCAGCCACAGCCGCCAGGACTGAGCCAACGCGCAGGCGCGGTACTTCCTACCTCTCGCGCGAGGATCACCACGAGAAGTACAGCGTAGAACGGTCTCCTCCCGCTCAGTGGGCCCCGCCCCGTCCCGCGAGCCAGTGCGGTGTCATAGAGCCCGCGGGAGCTGCGGCCAGAGAGGCCGCCCCTGGGCCGGCCTCCCAGAGCGCGCCGAGGGTCGCGCGCAGCTCGGCGCCGCCCGGTCGGAGCGGCGGCCCGCGCTGGCTCTGCCTACTGCGGTTAGCGATGCTCTGGGTTTGTGACCTCCGGGCCCTGGCCCAGGGCGAGAAGCGCCCTCACACCCCGACCCTCCCTCCATCCTGCTGGCACTTACAGCTGGGAAGACACCCCAAAAGGCCTCCCGAGTTGGCGCAGAGACCGATTTTAAACCTGTTTCCCCAGAAAGAGAATACTGTCACTCACAACTGTATCAGAGGTTTCCGTGTTGTTCACCCGGGACCTCAGGTAGAGTGTAGGGCACATGGCGAACCACAGCTAATCATTGGTTGAAAGAATAATTCCGAGAGAACCAGTAACTTGTAATATTAAAAAATTGGAAACTGTTAACACTCACTAGTAGCGAAAGAAATAAAATAATAGCACCTCTTTTGCGAATTACGATTACAGCTGTTGAAAGGAAGGATGACCACGTTAAATGGACAACTGTAGTAACTACAGAATGGCAGCTCTGTGTGTGTGTGTGTGTGTGTAGTTCTTTGAGACAGAGTCTCTATATATTTCAGGCTGGCCTTGAACTCACTATGTAGCCCAGTCTAGCCTCAAACACTCTGTGATCCTCCTGCCTCAGCCTCCTGAGTTCTGGGATTACAGGCGTGCCACACCATTCCTGGCTCAGAACAGCAGCTATGTAGTGATATCATTTATATTCATTTTGCTAAGTGGATATACAGAGGTGTAGGCTTATGAAAGTGCATTGGGTTTTGTTTTTGTTTCACATGCTAGAGATCAAACCTAGAGCCTCCTGCATGCCAGGCAAGCACTCTACCACTGAACTGCACCCCCTCATCCAGAAAGTGCATGATTAAAAGGTCTAAATAAAAGGATGCATCCCCAGCTCTTAACCGGGGATGAAATGGAAGGAAAGGGGATTTTTGTTTTTTTAATGTGTTTCTGTATTGCTTGAATTTTTTACAGGATGCCTATATCCACACATTACTTGTATGTAATAATAAAATTTTAAATTTGAAAAGATACTTATTCCCCCAAGTGTCTTCTCAAGAGGAAGGCCGCAGGTCCAGGAGCTGTGTGCTAGTTTTGAAAGCTGCTTGCTTCTGCATCAGTGAGTCCTTGTTGATAGATTGATTAATCCACCGGGAGTGCACCGGCCAGGTTTAACGCATACAGCTGGTTTCCACCCAGCCCTGAAAGGGAAGTTTATTTATTTAAATTTATACATAAGAACTAGTCCAGCTTTCCAGAAACAGAAAAGGGAGGTTTTATCGGGCATAAGGGAGGAGAAAGGGAAAGGAAAGCTTTTAAAGAAGGTCCCCAAAGGACCCAGGGTGTTCCTTCTTTTCTTTAACCTCACTCTTTTCATAAATAAAGGGATAATGAGGTAATTAGATCCTGCACCATTAGTAATAGAGGAGGGAGGAAGAGGAAAGAATGTCCAGCTAGAATAGGCCATGATCAAACATAGGTTTTAAAGACAGAATCAGATCAGCAGCTGTTTCCTAACATGGGGTGCTTAAGGAGTTAGTTTGCTGATTCAAGGCAAAATGCTTTGGGTGTAGGTTCCCGTTGGCAAATCAGTCATTGGAGGCCCTCAGCTAAGTTAATGACTTCATTGCTCAGAGATACCCCAGGATCCACCCTGGGGACACCAAACTGCAAACAGTGTGCCAGGGACCTGAATAGCCATCCTATTCATTTCACAGTTACTAGTGCACTCTCAATGCTGCCTTGCACTGGGGATAGAGTAGAGAGTGAATCAGGTGCCAGCCCTATGCTTAAGAAGTATGGCTGGGCATGGTGGCACATGCTTATAATCCCAGCACTTGGGAGGCTGAGGCAGGAGGAGAGCCGTGAGTTTGAGGCCAGTTTGGGCTACATAAGTGAGTTCGAGGACAGCCTGAAATGCAGAGCAAGACCCTGTCTCAAAAAAATAAATAAAAAGTCTGGCTTCTAAACAGATCAAAATGCCAGGATATTATATCAGTAGAGAATGGAAAGCCCTCAGTGAAAATGAGATGAAGGGTCATTATTGAATTGGGTTTTGTTTTGTTTTGTTTTGTTATTTTGCACCAGGAATCAAATTCACAACCTTGTGCTTGCTAGGCAGATGCTGTGCTGCTGAGCTATATCCCCAGCCCCTGACACTGTTTTATTTATTTATTTATTTTTGTCGGGTTTTTTGTTTTTTGGTTTTTTTTTCTGGTACAGGGAATTGAACTCACGACTTCATGCTTACCGGGCAGGCGCTATGCCGCTGAGCTAAATCCCCAGCCCCTATTTTTGTCTTTTTGAGACAGGGTTTCACTATGCAGTTCAGACTGGCCTTGAATTCACTTTGTAGACCAGGCTGGCCTCAAACTCACAGCGATCCTCCTGCCTCAGCCTCCTGAGTGCTGGGATTATAGGCATGCGTCACCACACCCCGCCAGACATTGTTTATTGAATGATAAATGTTCTGCTTTTAGAACGTGGATTCTTAAGAATATATAGATGTAGGGCATGATGGTATGAGCCTGTAGTCCCAGCACTGGGGAGGCTGAGATGAGAGGATCTCTTCATTTTAGGAGCTTGACACCAGCCTGGACAACATAGCAAGACTTTAGTTCAAAATTTTAACAAACAAGGCCAGCCTGCGCTATATAAGCGAATTCAAGGCCAGCCTGCACTACATAGTGAGACCCTGCCTCAAAAAAAAAAAAAAAAAATTAACTGAAAATAAGTGGCTAGGCGTGGTGGTGCACACCTGTGATCCCAGCTCTCAAGAGGATGAGACAGGAAGACTCCTGAAAGTCCAGGGCTAACTTGGGCTACATAGTGAGTTCAGGACCAGCCTGGACTACACAATGCAACCCCATCTCAAAATTAAAGTAAAATCTTCACTAAATCAAAGTCTGCTTCTTTTACCATTCAAGTGATTATTCTTTAACCCGTGTCTAGTCATTTCAATTAAGTACGAAATATGTGCCAGGGACTGTGATAGACCATGAGGATACAAGGCCCAATGAGGCAAGTGTCAGAAGGAATAATAGCAAGATACCTTGTGGAATTCAAATAAAGAAGTACTTACATCTGGTTTGGGTCCGCAAAGGTTCAGAAAGAAATGAGCCTGAGGGGCTGGAGACTTATCTCAGATGCACAGCACCTGCCTGGCAGACGCAAGGTCATGAGTTCGATTCCCGGTACCGGGAAAAAAAAACCAAAAAATAAAAAAAAAAAAAATGAGCCTGAGAAGATGGAAATAGAAATGGAGAAAAGAAAACATTCCAGACAGATGAGCAAAGTCAGGGCAGAGGAAACACGGCTCATAGTCTCCACAAGAGCTGCCAGCCTAGACAATTTATATGGTAAGAAAGTCCTGAAACAAAAAATTATTTCTGGCTGGGTATGGTGGTGCACGCCTGTAATCTCAGCCCTCGGGAGGCTGAGGCAGGAGGATCATTTTAAGTCTGAGGCCACCCTGGGCTACAAAGTGAGTTCAAGACCAGCCTGAACTGCAGAGTGAGACCCTGTCTCAAAATGACAAAAACACATCAATTCAGGCATGGTGGGGCAACCCAGGAAGTAGGAGGAAGTAGGAAGGATAGTCCCAAGAAGTAGGAGGATCCCAAGTTTGAGCCAGTCTATTCAAATTAGCAATTCAGCAAGAAGGCCCTGGGTTCAATCCCCAGCATGCCCAACACTATATATATATGTATGTGTATATATATATTGTTTTTTAAATTAAGTATGTGTTACATGCTTGCAATCACAGCACTCAGAAGGCTGAGGGAGAAAGATCGATCAAGGCAAATTCAAGGCCAGCCTGGACTACATAGTAAGACCCTGTCCCCCCCCCAAAAAAAAAACAAAAAATTATTTCTGGCTGGGCATGGTGGTGCATGCCTGTAATCCCAGCACTTGGGAGGCTGAGGCAGGAAGACCACTGCAAGTTCAAGGCCAGCCTGGGCTACGAAGTGAATTCAAGACCAGCCTGAACTGCATGGTGAGACCCTACCTCAAAAAGACAAGAAACGGGGCTGGGGATTTAGCTCAGCAGCACAGTGCCTGCCTGGCAAGCGTAGCGTTGTGAGTTCGATTCCCGGTACCGGGAAAAAAAAAATTGGGAGAAAAGAATATATTGAAATAGAATAAATGTCAATCCAGAATGCTGTTCAGTGAAAATAGCCTTCAAAACTGAGAATAAATCCAGGTGTGGGGGCACACACCTATGATCCCAGCACTCAGGAAGCTGAAGCAGGAAGATCGCTGTGAATTCAAGGTCACCCTGAGCTACATGAGCAAGTTCAAAGCCAACCTATTGCAAGATCCTGTCTCAAATCCCCCCTAAAAAAATAAATAAAAATATTAGGGGACTGAGGATGTAGCTTAGTGCTAAAGCACTAAAGCACTGGTCAAGGCTCTGAGTTTGATCCCGATCTGGAAGTAATAGCTCAATGGTAGAGCATGTGCTTAACACACATGAGGCCATGAGTTCAATCCTAGAAAAAAAATGATTGATTTGTTAATCAAAAATAAAAGTATTAGAAGAAATTTTAGGAAAATATTTGCAAAACCTGGAATCAGGGAAACTTTCCAGATAAGGCAACCTCAAAGGCCTTAAAGAAAATGACTAACAAATTTAACCATAAAAAAATAATATTTTTGGCCGGGCATGGTGGC